GGTGCTGGAGCTGGTGCAGGAGCTGGGGCTGGTGCAGGAGCTGGGGCAGGTGCTGGAGCTGGTGCAGGAGCTGGGGCAGGTGCTGGAGCTGGTGCAGGAGCTGGGGCAGGTGCTGGAGCTGGTGCAGGAGCTGGGGCAGGTGCTGGGGCTGGGGCTGGGGCTGGGGCTGGGGCTGGAGCAGGTGCAGGTGCTGGGGCTGGAGCTGGTGCTGGTGCAGGTGCAGGTGCTGGTGCTGGTGCTGGTGCAGGTGCAGGTGCAGGTGCTGGGGCTGGAGCTGGTGCAGGAGCTGGGGCAACACGCGCGTAACGGGTACGACCAATATTGGTACAACTAGCACTGGCGGTAGTCGTACCTTTGCAAGTACGAGAAAGACCGGCACAGTAAGCATTGCAACTTTTGCCACCGACACTGCACTTAGTTGTGTCGTCACAGGGCATCAATGCAGTGGTTGTAGAAGTGATGACAGTACTGGCTGCATATAAAATGAAATTTAGCGTTTATGATGAAGGACAAATTCACTGGTCTAAAAAGTGAACTTACACATAGTGGTCGTTATTGTTGTGGTCGTTTCTTGTTGATTTAAAAAAAAATTAAATATAGGATAGATAGTAGAAGATAAGTACTGTTTATACCACTTACCTGTTGTAATGGATTGAAAGGAACAAAATCGTGCAGAAACTGTTGAATATGTACCATCAGCCAGTATGAGGGCAAGTGGAAATGCAGCTGTACCCAGCTTTAGCTGTATCTGATTTTTAATATCAGATGCACATTGTTCAAAACAGTGATCAGTTTTGCATGTAGAGTCTGGACATTTACTGATAAAGATGGAAATTCCCATGTTATTGTTGATCCCACATAATGGTTCACTATCAAGAATGATAGTTTTTATAGGTGAAATTTATTCAATACGATGAAAATGGCATCAATGAACTCACGTCGTCAGCTGTTTCTTTATTCTACTACTTCCCTTTTGGACAGATCCACTTTGTACAGTGAGTATATTTGCTGCAAAACCAAGCATTTTATTGAGCTGTATATAGAGATGTAGTCTATATCGAGTACGTGTGTGAAAAGAAGTACATTAACTTACAGCTTGTCCGATGGGTTCCAGATTGATTACTGTTTGAGTTTTGTCAAAAATCGTATTAGTGGTAAGTTGCATGTCGATGTATCTCACGCCTTATAAAAGATATTACGTAATTTGATGTAACTGTAACAGTAGCATTAATTTTCCTACCATTGCTACTGTCCGCCAAACTGATACCGTTACCTTTTGCTTCGAGATAGACCGGTATGAGTGATGACGCTATTATTCCACCAATTATAAATAAAACTGTCAGAGCTAAACAAATAGCCCAACATGGAGCCCATGTTAGCCACGATCTGAAATAAAGAATATCGGACGAAGATTATGTGAGAATGAGTTAATAAATGTATATACATACTGTGATGGTACTGTTGAGTTATTATTTGCAGACCTGTCACTTTCACCTGTCATCGCACCTAAATAAAAAAATTGCAAAAGAATCTTTTAAAAGGTAAATTGGGAAATCATTATTTAACTCTCCAATACATAGCAAGTCACGGTTGAAGTACACCCATATCAGTTTGATACGGTCGAAGCAGGCGGACTCCAGTATTTTCTGGTGATTTCTCGCAGTGAGATTCCAATGTTGTATCCGGGTATCCGTTTTCTGAGGAAGGATTCGTTAATCTTCTCTAGATAACAGGATACGGAACGTATCCCACTGGTTCCTCTGCGGAAACAGATTTACAAAATAGAAATTTTTGGGAATTTTTACGAATCTCTAATCATTGATTTAGATTTTCTTCATTAACTTGTACGCCAAGTAAAGGAATATTTTAGAATATTGCCACAATCAGTCTCTGAACAGCATATAAAATCAGTTATGGATTTTGATGAAGGATATGTATGTTATATGTGATCACTCAAAAGATATGTATATTCGATTACAAACAGTTCACTTGACAAACAATTCTCTCTATTGTTCATTTCATACTTTTAAATGGAAACTAAAGGAGAACAAATTGACTTCAAATCCCTAAATTACTCTGAAGTCATCGGAAATCAGTAGAAATTATCACCTATAGGTGGATACTACCTACGCAGCACTACAATAGGTTCTAAAGAACTCTGTATGATTTGGAATGTTGTCAAGGATTTTAAGTGATTTCAGTGATTTTGCCAATTTTGGGCGATTTCAAAGGTTTTCATCTGATATCAGATTGGTTTACCACAAAAAAAATCACCACACTTAGCTTAGATAGAAATCACACGAAGTCACGAAATCGGCTTCTTCCCTATTTTATGAGATTAACGCGATCTCTTCTGGAATCTTGTTGAAATATATTTTAACTACACTCTTATCCATAAAATTCTATATCCAATGAAAAATATTTTATTAATTTATGATAGAACTATTAATTACTAATAATTCGACCAATCAGACGAGCAGTGAATTTTTTGTAAATAGAAGATGAATGTGCGGATTAAAGCGCTGCTTTTATGAAATCGAAATTCATAATTTATTCTAGTAATTCGGAAATGATCATCACGATCAATTTACCACTGAACAGGGATTTTTCATCGCTTGGTTTATATATGAGTTATAATCAAGTATTTGGAAGAACAAATGTGCTTTACACCATGACCTACAAAGCCATGTTTAATTCGACTAGAATAAAGAATAAATACAAATTCTGATCTGTAATCAATTCTAATTGGTTGTAGAGAGTATAATGATGTATAATCATGAATGAAAATGTATTGCGAAATATCGCAACAAAATGCTCTGACTTCGGGTAAAATTGATTCACAATTTATATATTTTATTCTCGAATAAAAAATCAAGTGGCCAAAGAGTCTTATTTATCATTTACTCAGTAATCTAAAACAAATTAGTCGCGTTGGTAAACAATTCGAGCTGGAAAGAGGAATATGATCACTAGAGCATGTGATGTTATGAATACGGAGAGTTAACCCCACTAAAACTATCGGTAATTGGTTTGAACCTCAAACAGCGATTCTTTACAATCAGCAAATAAGTTTATTAATAGTTAAAAATTTATGAAAAAACAATTCATTTTCTTGACTATGAGATAGAATACAAAGTAAATAACTGGCAGATGTTTGCGCGCATCAATATTCTTTCAAATGCAGATATGGATCACATGGTATTTTGGCGATTGAATAGAACTTACACTTATCAATAGAATGCAACTTAGTTTTGTCGTAGTTCTTGTATAATATACTCGCGCTTCAAAATTTACGTTGCAGCATCATGCTATACTTTATCATATATTTACAAGCTAAATATGTTGAATTCCACTTTGCATATACATGAAAAGACATTCATGTTATTTTACAAGTACACATGTTCGTTCTATTTCCTTTTAACAATATCAAACCATATGAATGGATGTTTGCTAGAACAATGGTATCTAGCAAAGTAATTCTTCTATTTACAAAATGTAAGATTCAGACTATTAAAAAGATCGAGTTTTTAACCACAGATGAAGATAAATAAAATTGACTCCATCATTATTCCATTCCCGATATATTTCCTTCAAATCGTACACAAGAACCAATTTCATTGCATGGAACTATATTGTGGCTCTAACTATTAATGTACTGTCATATTTATCCAGAACTCTTGTGTAACAGCATGGAATTAAAACGCCTTGAAAATCAGGAAGATAAACTAATTTTGCGTATTATGTATTCTCGTTATAAACCTGACTGAGCAAGCAGTGAAAATTCAAGTTTCATCTGGGAATTACTGATAGTTACACGCTTTTAAAACATCCGATTGCTGCACATAGCTTCAACACGACACTCTTTGACAACTGGGACTTAATCCATAAGTACCAATGGACACAGTATCAAAAGTTTTATTCTCTCTAAGGGCCATACACATCCATCCTCATGTACTAAATTGCCCTTACGTAATTTTTTTTTGATTATACAGACTTCCTGGGATCATCATAGTATGTGTCTGTGCTTCATCTGTTCTGTCAATCTTTCTTCCTTTCCCTTTTTCTACATTGTGTTCTCTATAAAAGACAATATCTTGTATTACACACGTTACACCTAGAATATATTACAAAGTAGTAAACATCACGTTATGAAGGGCAGCGATAATGATATTTATCCGTTTATCTTTGTGATCACAAATAAAACCAATCTATAAAATGCTACAGCAGTAACGAAACCTTGTTCTCTATCATTCTCTTTCGTTACATTTTATCCGCCCACTTGCGTTCACAAGCAATCCCAACTAGATTCAAGTAAATTCCTTATATTTATAATTTTAGCTCAAAACTTATTTTGCCGAATATGCGTTATAAATCTCAAGGGAGGCATGCTTATAGTATCGGACAATTCTATCTAGTTTCTATGAATATAAACTCCTATTGTTAAGTACTTGAAACTCTTGAAGATTTAATTCACAATTCCTCGCCTGTCAAAATTTAAATATTAGGTTGTTAACAAAGTTCTTTCGTTTTTTTTTAAATTTTCTAAAGCATTCTAGAAAGTTCTCGAACTTTTCATACTAAGGCTATATAAAGGCAGTGTGAATATCTTCCGAATGGTGATAAAGTCATCGATACGGACGCTGATCGTGAAATGGAAATGAATCTTTCTCGTAAAGAGATTCGAGTACTTTTACTTCATGAATTTCGTTTGGATCACAAAACAACGGAAGCAGCTAACAACGTATGCAGTACGATCAGTGAGAATGTACTCCCTACTTATACGGCACAGCATTAGATCAATAGCTTTAAGAGCGGCAACTTAAACCTCCACGATTTACCTCGGTCCGGTAGACCAGTCGAAGTGGATGTGAATCTTTTAAAGTAACTCATCGAGCGAGATTGTCGATTGACTTTACAGTGCTTAGCAGAGCAGCTTGGGTGCTCTTATGTTGCAGTGGTAAAACATCTGAACGAATTAGGAAAGACATGGAAATATGGAGTTTGGATATCCTACGAGTTATCACCACAGCAGCTACAGCAACGGGCTGATGCTGAAAGTTTGGTGGAGCATCAACTAAATTATTCACTGAGCAGTGCTTCCAACTGGTTGTACCATCACTGCTGATCTCTATTGTCAAAAATTGGACCGGATTGCCGAAAAACTCAACGGCAAGCAGGAGCGAATTTACTATTTGCATGATAATGCTCGATCCCATGTTGCAAAGTCGATCCGCAAAAAATTATTGAAGCTCGGTTGGATTACCGTTCCTCATCCACCTTATTATTCTCCTGACTTAGCACCAACGGACTACCATTTGTTTCGCTCTCTTTCTTATTATTTGGTTGAGAGAAAGTTCGACGACGTCAATGACGTCAAAATGGATATCATTAACTTCTTTGGTCAAAAGTCAAAGGACTTCTACGAACGCGGCATCTTGTCTCTGTCAGATCGGTGGCGACAAGTCATAGAGAGTAGTAGTACATATGTAACTGAAAGTTAGTTGTATTGTTGAAGTTAAAAAATAAAAATAAAATTTTGGAAAAAACTCAAAAACTTTGTTAAGAACCTAATAGCTTTTTTATTTGATGCTCAGATTCAATTACCGAGAAATCAGTTATATCCTAAACCTTATAGATTTTACTGAAAATCGCTATAATGCATTATATACTATGATCGAGCAAACTTCCATTATTATTAACGATTAAACATACTTTGATATTGAAGTAGCTGATATCTTGAATGTATTGAAAGTGAAAAAAGAATATAACAGTATCCGTTATTTATGTATATGTGCGCACACCGTTTCGACCTACATATAATATTTTGTTTTATCATGGTTCACTGCTTTTTAGCTATTAGTATCTTATGCTATTACTACAATCACCCGACTTTGTGAGAGCATACGCTAGTGGCCTCAACTAATACCCACAACTCAGAGAGTTATGTCTACAAACACCGACGGTTACAAATTTTACTCAGTCCATAGAGGAGAAAACACGAAATATATCTGGAAAGCTGATGACCCTTCACACTAAGGGTTGGTAGAAAAGTTTTTGAAGGAAATGTTGAAGGCTAAAACTTATACATAAAAACTAATGGGTCAGTTTTTTATCGATAGTATAGCTTGTCACAATCTCTATCCATGATATAAATTTGAGATTTTTCGATTGAATCATTAATATGAAAATGGTCGACCTTCGTGGACGTATTTTTCCTATGCCTGCACAACACAACGACTTGAAAAAAAGTGACATAGTGAAGCATTTGTCACTGAAAGGTTTCAAAACATCGACAATTTATGATGCTATAAAACGTTATGAAATTGATTTACCACTTGCAGATCGTTCGAGGAAAGGTCGTCCAGCGCCATTCAATCAGAAAAAAAACTAAAGCGTTTGCAAAAAGCAGCTGAAAATCGTGTTGCTATAACTTAAAGAAAATCAGTAAGAAAATTTTGTGTTAGAGAGTTGACTATCCATTTTCATCTGAAGAAAATGGGTCTTAAATACTACAAATGTCAAAGAGCACCAAAATATACAGAAAAATAAATAAAAAATCCCCGAAAAAGTGTTTAAAACCCCGGCGTCATATATCATCTAAAGCATTCATTACTATCAATGACGAAGAACATTTTACATTCTCAAACAATGACATACCAAAGAACAGCGGTTATTATTCATTTAATAAATAATATTGTCCACACCATATTGAATATAAAACAAAAGAAAAATACGCTAGTAAGGTTATAGTTCGGCGAGCATTATCAGCTAAAGAGTTTTCGAAACGATACATTGGAACATCGAAAGGTCAAGCTATCACAAAGAAAGTTTACTTTCATAGTTGGTTGAGTAAACTTCAGGAGCGGCACGACTAAGGGGAGGGGGATACAGAGCCCTCTGCTTTCGAAAATTCTAAGCGATATTTTACTCTTGTTTTGGGAGAAAATATCTCACGAATTTCCTCCCATTTTGAAAAACACCCCTCTTTGCTTTAACCTTTTCGCGCCGTCCCCGATAAACTTGCAGCATTCGTTGTTGAGCATCATAATCACGATGGTTACATATTTTGGCCTGACTAAGCATCTCCACATTATGCCAAGGAAACAATGGAATGGCTTCATGAAAATGGTATCAACTTCATACTAAAACAAGAGAATTTGCCAAAGGTTTCAAAAGCTCGACCAATAGAACATTTCCGACCGATATTGGCCGACAAAGTTGACGAAGGAGGTTGGTAAGCACAATGTGAATTACAATTGAAAAGAAGGAGTAGCCGGATCTTCGCCAATACATTGTAAGACTTTCGCCAATTGACGAAAGTCCATTAAATTTTCATCCATATTGGCTAAATGCTCTCGAGTTATTGCTTTCATAAAAATGAGCTTCACATAGATAATATTCATTTATTTGATCAACATAATTTTATTACTCAATGCCCGTTGTCACACGTGCTGCAGCAGTACGATCCCAGTTTACTGGTGATGATGAAGGTTCAAACGATCCTGCAACATCTATAGCATCATCTACTAATAAAACAACTAGAAGAGGTCGAGGGCGACCAAAAAAAACACAAGAAGGTACATTGCATTTGAATACCGATTCTACTAAATCAGAAACAACCTTAATGTCACACCCTCAACCTCAAGATTCCTTTAAGCTCGTTCAGTCCCTGGCAATAGTGATCATTGTTTAGTAGACTCTCGCCAATATTGGCGAAAGTACAAAAAGCATAATGAACTTCCGCCAATTCAAGTGGTGGACAATCGCCAATTGGCGAAAGTGTACTGGATATTCGCTAATAAATGTACTTGACTTTCGCCAATAGTCGGCGAAAGTCTTATTGGCGAAGAGCGGAATCCCCCCGTGTACGACTGTTTAATATGTATAAAACATATGAAGTTATTAGGAAGTCAATTGGGTGACGCGGATGTAACCAACGCTTGTCTTGGAACCATATCCGGTATCGTTCCAAAACGGATGTCCCGCGCAGTTATGTACTAATGCCATTCGCCCAAACCATGATAATAGACATTAAGAGTCTCGCCATTTTTGCGTACAGCAAATAAGTCCGGGCCCTCATCGCTTATTCGGAAATAATGTATACTACCTGGTAAACCGGGATCTGTTCGAATCGTGTCTGTGTAGTCAATGAACGTAAATTGGCAAGTATCCATATTACTGTGGTGATTCTAGAAGTCAGTACGAACCAAGTTCACAATAAATTTAAGTATCATAAAAATTTTGCTTGAGGAAGAAAAGTAAATTGATCTACTAACATAATATCTTCGAACAAAATTGTATGTTGGAATTTTTATCGTTTCCACTTCGGAATTTGTTTATTCAAGACACTCGTGAGTAGCTATTACACCTGATAGAGAAAAGAAAAGGCAAAAGTAAATAACATAACTTTCATCGGCATATAAAAGAAATGTTACAGACTGGTGTGGGTTTTGAAGTCTTTCAACAACATTTTCTTCTGCGTATATATGTAAATCATATATGTACAACTTGGCTTTTTCCAAGGAGGTATAGCATCTATAAGTAGAGGAATACATCAAACAACAGTTTATTCAAAATTTTATTTTTATAAATTCACTAACTGTTGCCGTTCGACCCTCATTGCAGCTGGAAATTCTATTGACCGTTATGGATCCAAACAGCAAATTCCAACGAAAAATCGATGCAATACTTTGTCCGAAAGATGATGAAGGGAATTACACAAGGAACAGCAATATGTGTCATTTCACACATATGACATGGCATAAAATAAGTGAATATGTAGACAAAGCTAAGGGTGGTACTGGTGAATACGATCGAAAACGATATGAAGCACATAAAAGTAAAACAAGTCCATATAAAGATGATAAAAAATGAATAATCTTTCTTACACAAATCAAAACATTTTTCCATTTTTTTTCTTATTATACATTCTTATTATCTAAGAAATAAAAGCCCATGACTACGTAATTTGATTTTCATTATTCGAACGGAACTTATTAAAACACTTACATTACGAAATTATGGATAGATTAATGCGAAACTATCACGAAAATGAATCAGTAGATACGGTAAAATCATTCAATCAGATTATATTAACAAGCAGCTATTACTTCCTGATATTTAGTTCTTGTCAAGCAAACTATCAAAGCAATTGTTTACAAATAAACATATATAATGAAAAAATTTTCTTAGGTTTTTACAGTGATGATTTAACAAGAAATGCTCAACTGACAGACAACCAATGGTATTATATAGCTTATGTAATTGCTTCTCCTTCACTTCTACAATCTCTTTATATTAATGATATTTTAGATAAAAATTCAACATCGAATTATCGATACTACAGCATTCCTATTGGATATGTTATAGGAGTCATACCTTTATTCACATGGTCTACGTTTCTTAATGATTACATTGATAAATTAACATTTGTATCACGAAATAAAAATAAGAGTGAGTTACTTGATAAAGTTACTCTTGTCACTCATTATTCATTCGATGATTTATATTTTGATTCTGGTCCGAATCAAATCATAAATTCGACCGGCATTTCAACCAGTTTTTATGCTAATGGTCGATTAAATCAAATCTTATTAATCAATTCAACTCCATCTTATTTTCAAACAACAGATTTCTATTTTCTTGGTCAAACAAATTGTTCATTTATCACTAATAGTACTATTCTTCCAGTCAGATTTCGTTAACAATTTATGTATTGAAAATGTTATCTATTCAACTTCAAATTGACAACAGTGACATTATGATTAAATAGTTGGACTTATCTTGCAATGACTTATTCAATTCTAAATGATATTCAACTTTATTTTAATAGAACATTTATAAGTAGAAAGAACACAATTTCAACCCCATGCATAGCAAGTGGTCAAATGAATACAATTGTGATTGAAAATTTATTTACGAGAATTATCAACGGATGAAATTCAACAATTTGTTCAGATTTAAATGTAATAAACATCCTATGCGCATTCTCACCTAATATTTATGATAACAGTTCATGTTATGAATCATTCTACAATGAAATGTTTGTCCTAGAATACTCACTTTTCCTCTTTTTTCCTGAAACTCTATTAAAGATAGAAAAGACTGAAAATTGTCAATTCCTCAGCATAATAATTATCGTCGTTAGAATGAAATGTTATTAAAAAGTACAGCAGTCAACGTCAACTAGGTCATCGGTTTGCATCTCTAGACACAGCATGTGTTCTCTTATGTGAGAAAGTTTTAGTTGCCGATTGTTATAATGGTAGTAATTGTTTAAAAAGTACAGAAATATATCAATGAAAAATGCTGAAGAATATTTTTTTTGCACAATAATATAAAAATATAATATTTCTTCATCAATCGATAAAACTCGAAAAAAGTGAGTTATCATAAGAACAACGATTATTATCTTTGTAATTGTATAGAACAGATGGTTTCGATCTCAACTCTGATACCGATGAATTAGGACGGTGACACAAACAAACCGTTTATAACAATGATGAAAGTGTTTATATTTTTAATTGTGTTTCTTAAGTAAGTCACATCATTTGCTTATATTTATTTCAAATATTAATATTTCGAAATTATTTTTAGTCTTTCAAGTATGTATTTCGAATAGTATAAATCTTTTTTGTTTAAATTCTATTATTAGATGAAATCATAAGTGAAAAATGTCAAGGTATTTCTCAATATAATAGATGTTCTGTTAATCCAGCATGTGGTTGTCTTTATTCATCTTTCGATACTAATAACACCATATGTGGTTATCTTTATACAGCTTGTTCGGAATTTTCTGCATGTTTCAATAATAATCAATCATGTTATTATCGTGATCATGTTTGTATTAAACATCCACGATGTTCGAATAATCATCCAATATGTTATCCAATGAGATTGGCGAGTGAAGCGATGTGTCCATCAATGTTTCCATCAACAACAAGTAAGAGAAACTGCGAATATAAAAGAATGAAATGTTTATTTTTTTTATTAGCTGTCCCAACACTACCAATACCAGATGATGGTATTTGTGCAAATGCAACATGGGATACAAATGGCATCACTGTAGCTGGAGGAAATGGACGAGGATCTGCAATAAATCAACTCGATGATCCAAAAGGAATATTTGTTGATGATGATGATATAATTTATATTGCCGATGCAAATAATCATCGAGTCATGAAATGGATACGTGGAGTTTCGAATGGTCAAGTTGTAGCTGGTGGAAATGGTCAAGGAAATCGAAGTGATCAATTAGATCGTGTATCAAGTCTTGTTGTTAGTCAAAATGGGACAATGTTTATTTGTGATCAAAATAATAGACGAATACAAAAATGGTTAAAGAATAATAATCAAGGACAAACACTTGTGATGAATGTTTCATGTTATGGAATGGCAATGGATAGTGAAGGATCGTTATATGATTCAAGTTATGATGATGGTCGGGTGTCGAAATGGCCGCATGATCAGTTAGTTGCTGGTGGAAATGGACAAGGACCGAATTTAGATCAACTATCAAATGCAGTTAGATTATTTGTTGATCAAGATCATTCAGTTTTTGTTGCTGATTCACATAATAGTCGTGTAATGAAATGGCCTGTCGGTGCTAAACAAGGAATTGTTGTAGCTGGTGGAAATGGTAGAGGATCTAACAATAATCAATTGAATGAACCTTTCGCAGTTGTTGCTGATCGAATGGGTACTGTCTATGTTGCTGAATGGGGTAATCAACGTGTGATGCGGTGGTTTAAAGATTCCAAATCGGGTACTGTTATTATTGGTGGACGAGGAATGGGAAGTCAACCATATCAATTATCACGACCAAAAGATTTAGCATTTGATCGACATGGCAATTTGTACGTTGCAGATACGGAAAATTTTCGTGTTCAAATGTTTCCAATAGATAAGAGTTCCTGTTTGTCAAGTTGATTTTCTTTTGAAAAAATATGATTATTATTGAATGATTTTTTTTGTTTAAAGATGACACGGAGAACTTTTTCGATCATTGAAGAAATAAAGTGACTTCATACCAATACTTATAGTTACATTTATTCTCTTTAATGAATAATGAATTGTTGAACACGATGATTATTTTTATCGGTGACATACAGATTTCCATAAATATCAAAAGCTAAACATTTTGGTTCGTTCAATTGATCAGCGTTTTCTCCTTGTCCATGTCCTCCTGCAATCAATTCACCTTGTTTTTCTCCTTTACACCATCGTACTACACGATGATTTTGAGTATCTGCAATATAGATTGTGCCTTCTTTATCAACAATTATTCCACCAGGATACCATAGATGTCCTAAATCCTCTCCAGCGTGTTCACCACCTGCTACAAGGATCCCTTCTTTTGCACCTTTCACCCATTTCATTACACGATGATTCTCATGATCTGATACATAGATCGCATGATCAGAATCAACGAAAATGTAAAGAGGAGTATTTAATTGGCTGTTAAGTTTGCCTTGTCCGTTTCCACCTGCTACAATTGTTCGTGTTATTACCATCTTTTCTTCTTTTCTATAACATTGTACTTCATGTTTCTCAATATCAGTAACATAGAGAGATCCTTGATCATCTATTGTCAATCCCCAAGACAGAATATTGTCCATTATTGTTTCTGCACATGCACTAATATCATTCTTACAAGAATATCTAATCACTCGTCGTTTTCCATTATCGCTAATAATAAAACAATTCTGTATTTTGTCAATAACTAAATCGCTTGGTTGAAATAATTCTTCAAAGTCATATTTATTCTCACCAACAACTATACGACCTTCTGTCTCATTATTTGTCCATGCCATTATACGATTATTCCACCAATCAGCAATGTACACTGTTCCATCACCATCAATGATAAGTCCATCTGGAAGATATAATTGATCCAATGCTTTACCTACTCCATGACCACCAGCAATGGTAATTCCATTTCTAGCCCATCGAGCAGCTGGATGAATTGTAGGAACTCCTATTAAAGAAAACCAACGCATACATATGAAATAAAATTGGTTAACTTACTTGAAATATCACTGTCGGATGATATATTTGTTTGTTTAGATTCAAGTTCTTTCAGTTTCCATTCCATACTATTATTATAAGCACGATTTTGACTTTCAATCAATGCAATATCTTGACAAACTACAGATCGTAGTATATCATCGGGTTGAAGATCTTCAAGAAAACGCGAATAGTATTTCTTAGCTAAATCATCATATCCCATTTGCCATACTAATTTCCCCAAAGTGTGCAAATTTGTTTCACCTTTTTCATTCTGTTCTCGCATATATTTCAATACTTTTTCAACATCTTGGTCATAATCATCACATAAACTCAATTTTACAGTCCACATAGACTGGGTGTTTTGATATACTTTGATCACACGAAATATGGAACCGAACATAAATAATATTTCCTGTTCATCTGGATATTTACTGTATTTACCGATATCAGCAAATGGTTTTGTATCGACCATATAAGGATCAGCGTCAATCTCAAATAATACAGGTACCATATCATCAGATTGGCCTTGAGCTTCAGCCCACAAAGCAGCCACATCACGGTCAAGACTTGTTGACCAAAATGAATTGAGGGAAATAAGTTTGTCAATACTACTTTTAAGAGTTTCCAACTCGTGTTTAGAAATATTTTGACCTCGATAAACTTCTATTTGATCTTGCAATTGCAATTCACGTAGTTGATGATACATATCGAAAAAACATGAACGCCACAGAAACATCATATGAATATCTTGTTGACGTAGTGCAGTATTCATTATATCATATACAAATGGTTCGGTAGTATACGAACAAAATATTTTATCAGGTGAATAAGTATCATAAAATGTACGAATACGCTTGAGCGTTGTGGTATTATTTTCGTATTTTTTTTCCAAATAAGATCTTAATTCATTTTCATCTCGTTTATTTGGCTTCATTTTTAGAAGACAATCGATGAGTGTTTGAAAAAAAACAAATTCACCTTTTACTTCTAGAGTGGAATTACCTGTGTTTATAGTAAACATATTGTTCAATGATGACCCTTGGTCTTGTTGATACATTCGAAAATTGAGACAAATTGTAGAAATAAAATACTTAAGTTTAGCGACAATTATTTTGACCTTAAATACAAAGAAAATTGCGTGCGAACATATGTATCTGTTTATTTTTCTACTTTACTAAATTGTTCGAACGATTTTTCATTAGTTACACTATTTACACCGTAAACACAGATTAAAGAAACTTGTTGGAGTTTGTGAATCGTTGGTATTATTTCGTTGCTTAAATGATTACTAATTAGAAGTACTAGTCGATTATTTGCTGATAAATTTTCAATATATTGTCGACATGATATCACATTTTGATACTTTGTGAATTTTATGAGAGTACTACGTAACATATATTCATCATTTTCATCTTTTCCTGAATCATCATCATCGAGCCAGATTAAATGAAATAAATCAAAACATTGAATATGATTGTTTGAATTAGATTTATTGTTCGAAAGTACATTCGTAGCCATATGTTATTAGATTATCTGGAATCTCATAAAATAGTTCTAAACTATTAAGAAATTCAAAAACTTTTAAAAACAACATTACCACGAGATTTAACATTCTGTTATCATGAAAACTTATCTTTTTCATCGAAGAAAAAGAATTCTGTTTCACTAAACTCTTTTTATCATAGAGACTGCGACAGTAAAGATATTGACGTATTGACTAAGAAAAATAGTTGTTGATATAAGTAGTACAACTTTCTCACGAGAAAAAAAACAAGAACAAGATAAAGATGAAAACGATAGACGATTATCAAGTGGAGAGAAACTATAAAAGGCGAGTTTGTTGGAAAAAACCAACGAGACAAAAAACACTGTGATTATCAGAAAGGAATTTGATGATTGCAAAGTATTTTTCATCGATCTTATCCGTGTCAGTTCGGATATTATTTTTTTTCCTAGTTAAAAATTCATCCACTCTCTCATGATATCAAAACAGAGAAGAAAATTCTTTTTAGATTAATAAAACGATTCAATGAACACATTTACGAAGAATTTAAGGAAACTCGTTGACAGACGAGCTGGAGAACAGAATTCGTGTGAGGAAGCACAGAAGCTTATCGAAGGTGGAGCAGATATTACAGTACACGCAAAAGATGGACCAATGATTCATGCTGTGATCAATGAAGAACGACGACAGCGTCCAGTATTACCTTGGAAAGCTGATAATTGTTTGCGTTTAATCGAAGTCTTACGAAAACAAGCTTCCCGTTTACTTGCTGCACAAGTTCTCTCATCGAATGGCAATAATATCAATGAAATACGTCGATTTATTGAATTACAAGCGAATACTTATCAATCAGAGACATTTGGAGTTCTCGGTTTATTAGGCGATCTTCTCAAGCAAGAACGAATACCAATTCAACTTGAAGTCATACAAATACTAATCGTAAATGATTCNCCAACAGTAGCAACAGGTGATACAAGCTTATTAAATAATAATGAAATTATTTTGTCGGAAGATGAGGTTGATACTTTTATGAATGAACCTGTTGTTGAAGGAGAAATAACCACAGGTATTTCAAATCGCAAATGCGATATGGTCTTCATGAATGGATACAGCTATTTGCATATGAACACTGCAAAGGAAACAATTGGCTGGCGTTGTGCTAAACGTAGTGAAAATTGTAAAGCAGTTATTCATACATCGAGAATAACAGGTAGATTTAGCAAATGGAACGGGCAGTTCCATTGTCATACACGTGATTTAAACGAAATGCGTAAACGTGAAATTTTGTCTGCAATCAAGAAAAGAGTTCTTGAGGAGTTTATTCCAGTTAAAATTATTGTTGAGCAAGAATATACAAAAGGCAACTTGACAACAGATGAAAAACGTCATATGCCTCTTCCATCTCAAATTGGTAATTTGAAAACATTTCTTTTACTTGACATCGGTTTGTCTTTTTAACTCTGATTTTTCTAAGAATCTGGCATACATAAATTACGTCGAAAAGCTGTACCACCAATTCCACATGATCAAAAATTCATCATGCCGTCTGTTTATTTGGAAACATATTCGAAAGAACCTTTCTTAATTTATGATAAACGAAAAAATCAGTATGGTGGACGTTTAATGATATTTTCTTCGCCGGAACAACTGAATGTTTTATCACATTCTGATATATTATTCGCAGACGGTACATTTCGTGTATCGCCGCTTTTATTTGAACAATTATATGTTCTTCTTGCGATACAACATGAAGGGGGTAAATATATACATGTGTTTCTCTTTTCAATTAACTCTCTATATACAGAAAAGAGGAAAAGAAAGATGACAGAGAGAAAAATCTAACAGAAAGAAGCAAATATCACGTGTGTGCTAGACAAGATGATGATAAAGCTATATACGTATGATCGAGAAAAAAACAGACGTTTCCATTCATTCATCTCTCATGCTATACTTCTTTGTCATTCCTTTTTATGTTATTTTAGCTGTGCCTGTTTGCTTCATTTTAACTTCTAATAGACGTCATGATACTTATGAAGGGATATTTCATTGTTTGAAAAGAATCGCATCGAAACAAGGCGTTGTTTTAAAACCAAAGACAATTATATGTGATCTTGAGAAGGCTTTTATGAAAGCTGTTACAAGTGAAGTCAGTGATATCCTATTGTCACAATATTCATAAATGCGTAACATTTTGTTGTCTTTCATTTTAGTTACCAGAAACAGTTGTTACTGGCTGTTGGTTTCACCATTGTCAGAGTTGTTATCGAAATATACAACAACTCGGATTAATGAAAATTTATAATTTTGATGCAGAAGCACGACATTTTCTACGTGCTGTCATGGGTCTGGCTTTATTATCGATAGATCACATCTATGAAGGTCTCTATGCATTGAAAGAAAAAATGGAGGGCCACGATCAACACGATCACTTGAATCCATTTATTAATTACTTTCAAAATGAATGGATTGACCATTTTAAACCTTCTTTGTGGTGTGTTAGTGGTAGCAAATGACGCACGAACAATTTTGCAGAAGGTAAAAGATACTAAAATAATCTTTTGGCAAATGTTGTGCTACATCAATCTTGTATTTGAATTTTTATTTCAACACAAAATAGAAGATTTTTCTCACGTGTTGTACAACCACACCTCAATCTGTGTAGGTTTTTACAATGTTTAAAACAGGAGGAAAGTGTCGTGTCACATAGGATGACACAGACTGGTTTAAGGTTTTCTTCGACTAAGTCATCAAAATCAACATGTGCAACAGCACGTAAAACTAAACAACTCGAGAAATTACTCCGCTTGTTAGAATCAAAGAAAAAGTCATTGACTGATACAGTAATGTCATTTGCATATTTATTTGCTGAACCAGTTGGTCGTGAAAGAAAAGGAAAGAAAAAGAAAAACAACGTTTCGAAATCCGATTCATCGTCTTCACCAAGCTCATCATCTGATTCTGATTGAATCATTTTTACGTCATTCTTTTTTCTTATTCCAGCATTATATTAATCATTTGGTCCTTGCTTATTTCTGCGTTTTTCATTTGATATTTCTTCCCTTGCTATTTAGTTCCGCATCATATTCAAATTTTAATGCTGTAATATCTAAACATATTCTATCTACATATGTTTGAATTAATTTCTTTAAGCTCGTTCAGTCCCTGGTAATAGTGATCATAGTTTAGTAGACTCGCCAATATTGGCGAAAAGTGGAATTCCCTCAAGAATTATCTTTTGGTATAAATATGTGGTATCTCCAAACGGCTTTTATTTATTAATTTCTCCAAAGAACATGAAATATCATGAAAATTTTATTTCTAAAATATGGCGAGCAATTTTGTCTTGACCAAAAGTGTCTCTAGAATAATTTGCAACTTATGATAGAAATTCTGATTATTATACAAGTTTAGCACAATAGACGCCTATATACTGTCATTGCTGAAAACCTGACTATATCAGTGAATATTGTATGGTGTGGTTATTCGTAGCTGTTTTCAAGAGCTAATTATAAATAAGAAAACTGAAATCACAAAAAGTAAATCTTATGGAAATTATTTGTATGTTTCATGAAATAAAAGCTTGTATTTATAGCAGTAGTCATGTACAAATGTAATTTTCAGCAAGATTTTATGTATATGTACGCATTATAGTACAGCTATTCTTATGGTAAAGGCTTCTGTAAGATGCTCCACATGTGTAGAAACTTCATAATACCTGTCAGTAAATTGCATTATAGATCAGTGAGCATATAGAAGATCAAATCTTGGTTTGCCAGACTATTTCTACAATCGGAGTTACTAATGTAAAATATTCCAATGCCTTTTCTTAATTTTAAATGTTTCGTTTTCATTAGAAAATTCTTTTTCACGAGAAAATAATAAATAAAAATTATTTGGAGATTCCACATATTTGTACCACAAGATAGCTATTGATATTCTTTAAGTGTTAATGAGCACTCACAACAGTGGTTATATTGGTTGCAAGAGGGATATTGGGTGATAGTGCGGAGGGTCGTCATTTTTCAACATATATTTCGTGTTTTTTACTTTTATGGACTGGATAAAATGTGTGATAGTGGGTATTTGTAGACATAACTCTCTGAGCTGTGGGTATCAGCGGGGACCACTAACGCGTGCTCTCACAAAGTTGGGTAATTGTGTTGATCGCGTAAAATACTGATACCCGTGCTTTTCTGGTATTTTTTTCTCTCATATCAGTTTTATTTCACACAAGCATTCGATTATTGTCTGTTGCAAGTGTATAAATCACAAAATATTACATCTAGTATGGGAATCCATGTTGATGAAAAGACTATGTGAATATCGTTATCATGATGATCACGATATTCTACGATATACAGAACAATATGGTCAGCTTATTCATTCTGAATACTGCATTTTTTTATAGGGAAAACAGAAATTATAATGAAAGTAATCGAGAAATACCTTCCATTATTGTTTATCTCTGCATATTTCATTAAGCAGATTACATGTATTCAAGCAGTGGCGGAGCCAGAGGGCAGATGGGGCTCAGCCATCCCCACCCTTGCACCTCTATAAAAATTTTTGCTGATGTCGCCTAAAAAGATTGTGCTATTCACATATGTGTTGTAAAAGGAATATGAATTTTAATATGACAATATGCCTTAGCTTCTGATAACAAGAAGTAATTTCCCAAGTAAACAAATATGATGGGAATACATTACATCAAAAAAATTTCTCTCGCTTTCACTTATCTCGAAAATAGATATTCACCGTGGGTGAGAACATGCCGCTGCTGCGCTGCGATGACTGTCAGCTAAATGCTACCGCGGCGCGTCATTAGAAAAATCTGCCACTGCTGTGCCACTACCGCGATAGTTTTTTTTTATATCGTTGGTTTTTCAAAACTCACAGGCATTTAAGCCGAAACTATGGCCACTAACCGATTAAACTCATCAAATCTATCAGCGTACTATGTATCAACATCAGAATTATCTTTAAATTTTCGTGTTTTTCAAAAAAGTTTTCTATACCAGCTATCGGTGCTATACCGCTGTGAACATCTGTGCTCGAAAGGGTGTGGGGTCGTTTAAGCGAAAACACATTAGTGAAAAATTAATAAAGTGAAAAAGTTTTGAGCGCAAAGGTTTTTCAAGGCGAAACGTCGGAAGAAAAGTAGTGATATATAAGAGAAAATTCTGCAATCCATTAGTACGGTTAGCTATATCTTATTAAATTTTAACAAATATCTACTGTAAGAACAACTAATGTGAAAAATTGTACAGTTGAACATGAAATGATGAAAAATTATTTTCAAAGAACAATCGCAGAATTTTGAGCTGCCACCGCAGACAATCCATGAACAAGGTCCAATAGAGTGACCTGTTTTGATTCATAACGCGATGATAGAATTTTGATTTGTGTTCGATTGATGCAGGCCGTTCCGTAGTTTTCTGTTGCATGGCACAATTAATTTTTTCAAATTGTTGTTGAAATGCTAATTCATCATTTTGTAAACATTTGGATAATCGACAAACACTCGAATGGAATTTATCGGCACGGTTGTTAAACTTGTTGTGCCATCCTATATATTAAAAGTAAAGTGCAGCCCACATTCTCAAGAAGAACCTGAAATCGCACCTTCAGAAAAGTTGTTAGTACGAAAGTTAAGTACTGATACGTTTTAATATTTTGGAGATATTCACGTTAACCATTGATATCTGAAGTATTTGCAAAGAACTTGTCATTTTCCAAAACGATTCATCTTCGAGAAGTTGCACAGCTTGTCCTATAAGTTTAACAGGTAGCGAAGCAAGAGCCATTGTACTTCGACATGATGAGCGTACATTTTCATTTTGAACATAAGATGATGTTAGACCAAATAGTGGAACTTGTTGATGAAGTGATTGGCAGAAATGAAGAAAACAACCATGATCCACTGCCATTGGAAACTATTCAAGTTCGAAACTAAATTTTAATTAGAAAGGAAGGGGCGGTTAAGAGCTGAAATTGCCCACCCCCCTCAAAAGTCTCCCTGATTAATCCAATTTCCTCAATTTCAACCTACTGAGCTAAAAGATGAAGAAATTAGGCACTCTTCAAAGATCGATATATGTAGATATCGCTTGGTTTCTTAGCTGAAAAAATGCACGGTTTTCACCCTGCGTCGACCCGATCGTTAGGAGAAAATGATGCAGGTCCACTCTGGAAACCACATAGATCAATGCAACTCGTTGAGCTGTACAAAATCACCTAGTTTGCAGGTTTAAGAAAAGTGGTCCTATGCATTAAAAGCTAGTCGTATTTCATTTCAGAGTCTTTTATACTTTTCAGAGTCTTTTATACTTTTCAGAGTTTTTTTACTGAATTTCACCAAAACGGCAGTACTTTTGTTAAAGTACATCTGATATTTGGAATTAGCGCAGAAAACTATGTGAACTAGTGTATATTTGATGTTGTTGCTGTAACTGCCATTGTCAGTCACTATCCTAGCCTGGGGTACCCCTCAACTATCTGCAAAATAGTGAATCTCAGAGAAAGACCTCAATTATCATATCTATATCAATTATTCTTCCTGGTAAAATTATGTGATGACTCTTAGCTGGATTTTATGTAGTTTCGCATGGGGTTTCAAAGACGATCGTTTTTCCTCGTCCGCTGAGGAGTATCCCAGGCTAGGATAGTGACTGACAATGGCAGTTACAGCAACAACATCAAATATACACTAGTTCACATAGTTTTCTGCGCTAATTCCAAATATCAGATGTACTTTAACAAAAGTACTGCCGTTTTGGTGAAATTCAGTAAAAAAACTCTGAAAAGTATAAAACACTCTGAAATGAAATACGACTAGCTTTTAATGCATAGGACCACTTTTCTTAAACCTGCAAACTAGGTGATTTTGTACAGCTCAACGAGTTGCATTGATCTATGTGGTTTCCAGAGTGGACCTGCATCATTTTCTCCTAACGATCGGGTCGACGCAGGGTGAAAACCGTGCAGTTTTTCAGCTAGGAAACCAAGCGATATCTACATATATTGATCTTTGAAGAGTGCCTAGTTTCTTCATTTTTTAGTTCAGTGGGTTGAATTTGAGGAGATTGGATTAATCAGGGAGACTTTTGAGGGCGAGGGGGCGGCAATTTTAGCTCTTAACCGCCCCCTCCTTTCTAATTCACAAAACTTCTAAGATTCTGATAAACATAAAAATTCAATTTTCGTCATTTTCTTTTTCGTCATATCACCCTTCGCAAATACTTAATCTCGCCCATATGATTTTTGCCGAAACGTATGTTCGCCAAAATGTTTTTCGCTGAAACGACACCATACCCTCGAAAATTATTATTTCCATACAATATAACGAGAGATAGTTTATAGAACAGTCAAACAGTTTTTAATATTATAATATATTTCCTTTTTGAATATTTACACTTGTATGAAAAGTCAAATGTATTGTTGTAACACACCTTTCTGTTAATCAATTTTAAAACACTCAATATTCCGAATGACTCAAGGCTTTTCTGTTATTGAAATGTTAGTTCTTTTGGTATTGTCACGCCTACTACTAAAAAGTGGGATGGATAAAGCCAATTCCAACTCGTATTTTGAACAAAGCTACTTATGTGATAACTTTTAGGAGTATGCATCGAGAAAACTTTGCGCTTCGAAATTCGAACAGTTGAAATCCAGTCTTTTGCCTTAGAGAAATCACCTTTTGTCGAAAGAAATGTCAGATTTGTAATCATTGTTAAAACCTAAAAATAATATCGTATCGAAAACTTCTCAAAACTTAGTCTTGCTATTTAATGTTTCTGAATAATTTATTCAAAGATCTTGAAGTAAAAAAATAAAAATTTAATAAATAGTCATGTAATAATAGACATTGTTTATCTCTGGATAAGGTATTCAAGAAGATGATTATAATATAATCCATCTTATTATTTCAGTTATGAAATATTGAATGACGAGTCCATGTATTTAATCCTATTTTGAATCCATTTTCACTTGGTGGACGACCCGCATGGAGCGTCAACTCATCATTATTATTATTTTCGTCAACATTAAACCAAAAAATACTATTTCCTGGTATTGGCCTAAACCGAAGACCATATTGTTCTGCCACATCATCGCATATTAAAATTTTACAAAAACGCTCGTGTAATGTTTGATTATATTTAATTTCAATAAATTCTGTTTCACCGTTTGTACAATTAGCAAATAAATAGGTAAAAAATGTTGTTATTCGTTGACCACCATTGTCGAGATGACTTCCGTTATAAAACCAATCAAAATGAGGATGAAACTAAAAAAATAAAAGAAAATTATTCATAATTATTTTATTCTAAAATGTCTTACGAATTGATTAGATTGATATTTAACAACTTGTAAAGGTTCAATTTGTAATGGGTTAATATTACCTTGAAATTTAGCAAATCGTTTTTCAATACACTTTATTATGGGAGTTCCAGCACGTTGAAGATAAGTTGTACTCGATAAACGGAAACTCTCATCTAATGTTCTTGATCCATCATAATTAGCAACAGTAGAATTCTCAAAAAATGGATTTCTAAAGTCAAAAACAAAATCGCATGATGCGAAACTGGAACATCAATATGTACAAAGAAACAAATAAAAGAATATTCGAAAATGTGTGTGTACATCTAATCTCACTATGCCATAGCGTATAAAACACAGAAAAAATTTTAATATACTTACGCTAATTGAATCAAATATTGAATTTCATTGGAAGTTAAAAAATTTTCAATATAAATAATTAATGGTCGACGTGAAATAATTTGAACATCATAGCGATGTTCAGGGCATTTATTTTCATATTCAGATAAATTATAATTATGATAAATATTATTTGCTGTATTACAAGTTACAATAACTTTTGATGATGAATTTATTAATTGTTGAATATAATGATGTAAATCTGTTAGAAGCCCAATAAATATATTTAAAGATGTATCACTTAATTGTAAAATAGAATATCGACATTGATATAAGTTAAGAATAACACCAACAACAATTAATATATGAATATAACGCATATTATATGTTTTACCTTAGCAAATATTGCACATATAGTGCACATGGAGAATCAGCAACGATACGAAAGTATTTTATCTATGTATTCATGCATAAAATGTATCGTTTCTCCTTTTATAAGTTCGAAATACAATGTTTTTTTTGATAGAAAAGCAATAAATGTCTTCATTTCACATTTCATAGCAAAGTATTATCGGTTAATATATTTCTACTATATCAATAAATGATAAAAAATACTTTGATTTTCACCTTTATTAGAAGAACTTTAACGAGAGCAAGTACGACAACAATAGTAATAATGATCTATCTATCTAGCTGATTTAATTGTTCATTTAATTCAATTTCTATATTGTCCGCAACACATCTTTGGTTATCAGCATCATTACCATAAGCTTCCGGTACTTACCAAGAAGGCAGAACAGTGTAGAAAACCAGATAAATATGAAGTCAATCGTTCAGTCAACTGAATCCATCGCACAGCGACAATCAATAATGAAATTTTTAATTTCTGGAACAATTTCATTCTTCTTATTGGTTCTAATGAGCTATCAACGAGATAATTTAATACGATTATGGCGCAAAGATAGTACGAACATGTGAATGTAAGTAAACAATATTTTAATACATCTGTAATCAGACGAAAGCAATTTGGTCCTCATGTATAATTGAGAAAAAGGCTCCGAAAATGGTACCGATATCATTAATAAAAATGAGAAAATGCTTATAGAAGCAACAACGAGTATACCACAAGAGCCTAACAATCAATCGAAGTCGTATAATGATTGGCAACAAAATATTTGATTAGTTGAAAAGATGAAATGGTCAGTAAAATAATAAATAAGTGATTAGTTTAAAAGATGAATGATCAGTAATGCGACCACCAGTAGAAAATGTGAAAGTGATCAATTTATTAACGTCTTCATCGTCGCCATCATCTTCGCCTTCATATATTATTTGATAAGAAACAGCAAAATATTTAACTTGCATCAGTTTTCTAATCTTCCTAAACTGATAATGTAAGATACAAATTTTTTCTTTTTATATTGAGTAAGATCGTTTTTTGTCTTTATAATCGGTGGTATTGTTACATTAATGTTTAATATTTAGATTATATCGACAAAAATTATATGGCAAGTAACTCTAGATGCGCAACAATCTGAAGGATATTTGGCCGTTTCAAAGAAACGTGTCTATACAAAACGTATCCCAAGTTCATTTAATCTTGATCATTCAATTGATAATAGTGAGGAAACGCTTGCAAATCTAGTACTCCACGAAACTGATTGTGCTACGATATTATCACGACGTCAAAAATTCATCCGTAGGTCGATCAATCTCGTACTCGGATCCTATGAGATCCCATGTAGAATCTTGTCGGATTCGAAAGATGAATTTTCCGGATTTTCTAAGGGTCATCATAGAATATAGCTAAAAAGATCGTTCACAAAATTTGCACTAACCGACGGAATTTTTGCAGTCGGACTCCAATGCAATTCCGTTTCTCGGAATCCGATCGGATTCAGCATCGGATTTATTGACCTGGGTCGCTCAATTTAAATGTGACTTGATATCATTAGAGGTGAATGCAAGTCAACAAATAATTCGAAACCATACAGAAATTATTGCTTGTGAAAAGAACAAGCTAGTCGAATCTGTCAGTACACAAATTTCATCACCAAAATCGTTTATTTGTATTTTAAATGCTATTTCTACACGTCAATATAATATTACAAAACGTTCTCAACTGATAACTAATCACAAGTTGTCTTTTTTCGACGACACTCCGATGGTTGTGGAAAAAAACTAATTGGTTGATGCAACCATCGGAGCAATAATTTGAATAAACCACGTCAGATTCGTTTATCATCGCCAATTATTGAAGTGGCGCCATATCCTCCATCAGACTGCATTAAATTTCTTGCGAATGGTCCACCTTTTACACCTATTGGTCAAAGTCATTTTTCTTAATTGCCAATTGATCTTATAATCACGAAAGAACATGAAAGGCTTGTAAAATCGTTTAAAGCTAGTTTTCATGACAATTATGTATCGGCATCGGATCTCAACGAGCCAGTGATTTCTTTTTGCTTTCATAAAAAATCTATCCACTTCATTGCATATAAAACCGTTATCCTCGTGATTATTAGCATGCACTCAATATGGTCAACAAATAATAAAAAATATCATACGCATTCGAATCAAACGCCACATTGTTATACAAGGATCGATAAAACTAAAGTTTTTCATCTAACTAGCACGACAACTTATCATGATAAATCGTTAGCATTAGGCATGCAACAATTCCGAGTCGACTCGATTCCAATTCTAGAATTGGTTGGAATCGATCGAAATTGGCCCGGAATCGAACAGCTTCCTTCAGTAACAGACGAATCTCTAGCAACAAAAAGCATTTAGAAGTAGTTTCTTGTCAGATCTCATGAAGTGCGTGAAAGTTGTTAACTATGGCATGTCAGTTCCAAATCAATTCCAGTCAATCCTAGTGAGTTTCAACCAATTCCAATCCCCGTTCAATTCCGATTCTAATCCTAACCAATGCCCTTCGATTTTAGAATTGGAATCAAATTGTTTGGAATCGAGATTGGTGCGTGCCAAATTGGCATACATGGCAAAAACGAAAGCTTACCAAGAAATTAACAATGATCTCAATCCATGTATTAATAATTTCCAGCAAATTATTTCATTATTAAATCCGTTATTGAAGAATAACTCTATTAATCTTAGCCGATGAAAGCAATACATGTATCCAAAAATTCAAACAATTGAACTACCTCATCTTTACTTCATACCGAAACCACATAAAGTAATTTCATTTTTTGTGAATTGGATTTAAAATATATATTCCACTTGTTTATATTTGCAGATTGGTACGCCATTGAGATCTATTATCTCCATGATACGATCAGCATGTGTATGTGTATCACGCTTCTTAGATCAAGTTCTTCGTCCAATATTTGATCGACCAACTAGACAAACAACATTCGCCAACAATATTCATTTCGTTCGCCGATTGGAACTTTACCGGAATCTTGACCTTTTAACATCAACAACAAATTTTATTACATATGATGTTGATGATTTCTATACAATGATACCAAGAGATGGAGCTCTACTTGCCTTACAGCAACTTTTGACTAAGCATGTCGATAATGGTAAAATCCATGGCATGACAATTAATACCGCTATGAAATTAGCTAATGCAGTTTTGGACACTAACTCGTTTGTTGTCGAAGACAAATATTATAAAAAAATTCGTGGTGGAGCAATTGGATCATCGTTTACAATGACTTTGGCTAATATTTACATTTTGAAATGAGAACAAATCTTATTCGAGCATCAGAAAGCTCATAATAAACTATATGGACGGTACGAAAGCAAATTCTCATGTTTTTATTGTTTGTTTCTTTTCTTCATTCTATGGATATATCGATGAAATCAACATCTTACTCAATCAAACAAATAATAAAGATGATAACATCAAGACTACACGATCAGTTGGATTAAATGCATAATTTCTAGATGTATCAGTCTTCAACAATCAAGGATAATTGAAGACAACTGTCTTTCATAAACCAGCAGCAGCACCTTACATTCTTCCATTTTCATCTGATCATCCACGTCATGTTCACCGCAATACAATTAAAGGAGGCTTGTTTCGAGCTGTACGTTAAAGCATTTTAAAACATTCTTCAAACAGAATAATGCTCTATTATTAATGCAACGGTTAGATAATGGTATGTACGGACAGCTTCATCAACAATCAATTAGTTTGCCAAGTCGGCGAGAAAGACAACAACCAGAACAACAAATGACTTTGAATCAAAATGACATTTCGTTTGATCAAGCTGAATACGAGAAGAGAAACTGGAATAAGAAATAAATCTATGTTTATTTTTCTTATTCAAATGTTCCAATGTCAAAACTCAAAGGAAGGCTACGCCAATTATGAAACAAGTATTAAATCTATCCTAGCTCACCCACGAACAATATTACATTGAAACTTGATACACGGGCTAATAAATCGCTCCAACAGTTACTAGTGAAGAAAAAAATAAGAAAATCAATGCTGGCCGATGATAATACTACAAATATCAAATGAACAGAATAACAATAGTTCAATGCAACTTTTTTTTTCTGTATTATCATCGGTTTTGTTCTATTATTGTTAGGACTGCAGTGGAATAGGATATAAATCCTATTTCATTTAGTATTTAACTGCCTGCTGACTTTTGCTTTTGAATGAGAAAGATCGATATTTCTGTTCAGTCTTGAAAAGAAAACTTTCTAAACATGTTCTTTTTTTTCTTCCTATTTCATATATTCGATTATCATTAACAATTATTTCGTCAATATTAACTTCCATTTTAGATCTACTCTGATGATGAACATCAACAATAGCAACGAGAAGGAAAATAGACGTTATTCGCCGAATATGACTATTCCATTCGATCAAGATTTCAATTCATGCTTTTTCAACAATCATCAATCTGTGAAACAAGAGTCGCATCAATTTCAAGAGCGAGAAGAGAACAAACGAAAGACTAGAAATCGTTGAACAAATTGTACCAAACATTCATTTCAATGCATCTACTGAGAAGAATGTGTAAAAGTCAAATGAAATAGTACCAATGACAAAATACAAACTGATGGCAAAGATAACCGGCTCGGTTGATTATAGCACTGTATCCAATGAAACATTACACGAAATATCATCGATAGCTTTTAATCAATCAGAGAAGTTTAATTGATTGTTCAGTGGAGTTGAAAATATAGAATTTATTCGTCAATATATAAGTTTAATCGATAGATTGTCTTACGTACGACTGTAAGACTTTCAATGGAATTATTACCATCATATCGGCATGACAAGGAATATTTGGTATGGTCGCATGTCAAAATTTTCAGCTGCAAAGTATTCGATCTGTTATACATATGGTAGATCCAAAGCGCTTGTTGAACAGCGTCTCAAACAAATTCAGAAGCATTTTCAACAAGCACAAGCCGCAATCAATTAATTTGAACAAGACATTTTATTGAAATATGAGCAGAACAACGATTGTTTGTATGCAATGCAGGAATTATCTTCTATTATTCACCGATTGGCACAAGAAAAACAACAGTCAATAAAGTATGAATTCGAACATAAAAGGAAAATACTGATCTTGGATGCAACTGATCATTATTTACTAGAAGAATTTCTAGGGCAGAAACCAAACAAAACACATGCATATCTATATACTATTAAATTTAATCCCATTCTACTTTGTATTTATGCTAGGTTAGCTTGGCAAGACGTATAAGGGAAGCCACAACTAAACAAATGTTGATCGAAGAAGATAGTACATTGCTACAACATCGTCTTAGATCAGCGAAATCATCATCAATATCTAATTTACTTCATGAAATGATTGATGATATTGACGCAGATGTTGGAAAATTAAATGAAGCTATGGAAATATCTCCAACAACTTGCTGTTCATTGAATGAAATGGAAAAATTAAAACTATTGAAGAATGACATAATTCATCGAGCTATTTTCACCAACTGCAAAAAGATTGGAAACTTGGATACAGCCATACAAAATGCACAGAGTAGATTTTCGCTAAAGAATAGATTTATGTACTCAACACTAGAAGGACAGAAAATAGTACTCGACGCTATTGAAACTCGTCAATTACATATAATTAAACATGCAATCTATATCAAACAATATCGACTGGCACCTCAATCGAAGAGCAATGATAATCCACAACATCAGCAGATTTCACTGAATTATTTGCAAAAATAGAATAGGTAGTGAATTATTATATTTCACCGCTTTCTTATGTAACCCTCATTTTCGATTTTTTCAAAAATATTTTACTTCTTCGTTTTTCACTTCCATACCATACAGCTGTATTCAAGACAACTTGCGCATGTTGTCATACAAATAAATTCCTATCAATGTGCGTCTTTCAAGTACTTTTGTATACGTGTAACAGCTCATAGAAATTATTGCACACAGTATGTTTAAATATTTTTTTATTTTTTCAATTTCAGAAAAAATAGAAGTCAAACATATATTATCCAGGAACTCCACATAATTCACTGTCACATCAATACTGGCATCTTGTAATTTTCCAGCTTAAGAAGTCAAAACTGAACGTCAATATTTTTAGGTCTTATTACAATTACTCCGGCATGAACTTAATCTGTAACTATTGATGCAACCACATCCGAAACTATATACAAGATGAAAAACATGGTGTTATGGCATATATATATACGCATTTTACGTGCGCAATAAGGTTTCTTATATTTGGTTGACTATTATTGCATATTTAGCGCGTACTACTGAACGATAACTTTTCCCTCGTATTTCTCAAGTTCACACGATCACCTGTTTTTTTTTCTCGGTAATTAACTGAAAATATCTAATTCGATTTTATGGCTAGTACAATATCTGTTTCTAGATATATCATCGTTTATGGTGCATGGTCTGTATATACTGTCTCATCTGCTTTCATAGCCGAATCGATTCTGAACATCATTAATAGGTATAAACGGCGTTCTTACTGTTACTATATATATATCTGTTTATAATTGAACAGAAGAGTGTTATTAATCCAATAGCGCAATAAAAAACATATCAAAGAACGTGTTCATAATTATTCTCCAAGTTAATTTCATACTTAAATCGATACTTACCTAACAAATGACACTTTTAACTGTTGATTCAATTAACGACAATAAAATATCCAAAGTAATTTACTGAATATTCTTTCATATTGTCGATTACTTCATATTTAGATGACCAATTCCGAAGAAACAAAAAGAAGGATGTAATTCATGAAACTGAATCAAATATCACAGGCAAAAAGTATGCAGGAATTTGTTTTTCTTCGCCTGCGCTCTCTCCCATCCGCATTACATCTTGCTTATACATTCATTTGCCAACGCCTCTTCTCTTAAAAAAAACAGACACCATTTATCACATTGCATATTAGCAAATGTTGAGGACATTCTTTTATATTTTTCCCTTAGCAATACCATAGCATTTTTACACGTCTTTATTTTCTTGATGATAGAAAAAGATTGCGTATCCATTGGGCATAGCTAAAAATGCATTCTCTCCCACATATCTTGGTGTGCTATAGTCCAAAGTTCCCTTTCTCTAGAAGAATATGAATACTGAGAGTAATTTCTTATACATATTCATTCGTTTACATTTCTTATACATATTCATTCGTTTACATTTCTTCTCGGAGTAAGTGTCATCCTTATATCTTCTTATACTTCAAAGCATACAAAAAAAATGAACATTACTATAATTGTCAAATCTTAAAAAACTCATCTTTCAATTCAATTCATATCTAAAATAATTCATTTCCAGCTGTTCAAAATCTTGCAGCTATGATGACAAAATTCTAAAAAGCGAGTCACCGGCACTACTTTAGAATTTAATTTCAACTCATATCGCAAGCCAGTCTTTCCAAACTGTCAACATAGTTCATCAACAACAATAAGGATACACTATCGAGACAATTCAGAAAGACACTTCAGTGGACATCAAATCACATGAGGTAGGCGCAACTTATTCTAAGTGACTTCTGCCTTCCCAATGACGATGAAAAATCCGTTACCTACGGTAACGTCGTTGCCTAACGAATGTAGAAATCCGGATAGTGGTAGTTATCATTTTGAACTCACCCTCGAAACTACCTGATGATACTACTACTAAGCCTAGCCGAAACGCGTCGTAGAATTCTTTACTCACCCTCACTTATGGCTTAAACAAATCAGTCCACACGCTGAAACTTGAAAACTATCCTCTCAGTTACCCCACAACTTCAACACAGTTAACACCAAAATAGAACCTTCATCAACCTTCAATATCCACTGTAATCTGCACTACTCATCTACAATCAGGATATTTAAAGCAAATAAACCAGTGCAGCTACCAATTAAATAGGTAGGCCTACTTTACTTCTACTTAACCTTGCATTATACTGCTAGTAATACGATCTACTCTTTCTCCAAATAGTTCATCACAAACGAATCGAAATTTGGATAGCGATAGTTGTGATTTTGAACTCTCCATAGTTTAAAATTATTTCTATCTGCTGTTTAGAGAGGTAAGCCTTCAAAACTGATTTATTAGTATTCTTTTCAATTAATTTTCGTAGTTCTATAGTTTTCAATATAATTTTTGAGAACTAATTTTGAGATCATGCAGATTCTTCTACCATCTGATGATCGATTTCTTTCAACAAGGATCGAAAACTAGTTTATGGTAGTTATTTGTTCAAACACACCCTCACCCACACCGGAAACGGTAAGGGTATATAAATAAATAATAAAATATATCTTTCTGAAATAAATAGAGAATTTATATTCGAAGGACTCGACTTAATCAAAGGGAGTACTCAACTGTAGCACTTGATGAAGACAGAGTGTTCGTAGACGCCGCAGTGGAACTGTGATTGATGGCAGATGGCAATAATATTGATGAATTTTCATTTATATTTGCGACAGCAACAGTAACAGCAGCAGTTTTTTACGAAATAGGTTCAGGTAACAAAGTTTCGAGTTCATCTTTTAATTCAGTGCTGCCGCTTACTTCAGTATTGTTCATTTCGTCGTGTTCTTCGACAACCAAAGCATTTGAAGCATCTGACTCATCTTCACTCGAAACCTTTCTATTTTTCTTATTTAACTTTTGAATCAAAAAAGACTATGATCACATTGTTCTTTCGTACCTTAAAACACAAACTAGATATCTAAACTGCCTATAAAATCAATTAACCTTTTTGCTGCTACTATTCCTTGGCGTCGACGTGATACATCGCCAGGATCTTTAAATGTGGCAGATGCGCTAATCTTCGAATTATCTTCTTTCGAATTTAATAATNTGGTTATGGTTTTCACTTCTTGAATCGAAATGATGTGTGAGTGATAGCTCCTCTTTAAATGTTGGTTTCCAATGGCTTTTTCCTTTCGAATAATTACAAATATCGCTTTCATATTCTTTTATATTTTTTAGGAACGGTAAAACTGCACAATATGCTTTCGAATCATGTTATGAAAATGGAAAATAGATTTAATCTGCGACCAAAATCGTGCATATATTGAAGTCAATTTTGTCATGACCGGCCAGTTCTGCTACTAGAAGAAATTTTATAAGGACTTTTTTTCTAGTAGCAAAACTAGCTGTTTGAGTGGGTTATACAGGAAGAGTTGGATATTAAAAATACTTCCGTATGCGTTCGAATGACTATCTCCAACTAGATACTCTATAGATAGCCGAGTGATTTTCATCCAAATGGTTTTGAACAATAAAAACCATGTTAAAATATTTTAAAAAAGCAACTAATCAGTATTTTAGAGAGAACACTAGTCTTTATTAATCGAAGCAAAAGCACTGAGATGTAGTTTAGAGAAGTAATTACATTGAAATATGGCAAAATCGTTAAGACTACTATGACGCACTGAAGGGATTTTGTATAAGTGCATCTAGTCGTGTTTCGATCTTTGAGTCGAGCTGAATGTTTCAAGGGAGTACTTTTAACAGACGGATGTAAATCCAGCTAAGAAGTCTTCTGGGAGTGGCTGGATACATTTTTTGATCGTACAACAGTAAAAATAGTGAATGCTGTAAGGGTGAAAGGAGACGGAGAGTAAGAGAGTGGAGCCAGGTGATGTGAGCGGATCTAGAATGAAATCTTTTTAATTTATATGGGATGACTCAGGCTCGAATCTCAAGAAATATTTAGCGCTCCGTGTGAATTAAAATGTAGATAAAGAGACGCGGTTTTCTGGCAGGTTGCAGAATTAGCCCGGAGCGAATGAATAACCGTCGGAATTATAGAGCATGTGCCGTTTTTAATGCAATCAAGGTATATGTATAGTGATCGATTGGATTTTTAACCTATGCACAATAGCTAATGTCCACCCTGAATATTCATCGTTTAATTTCTTAATGAACTGATACAAAACCCGTTTTCATTGAACCCCTAGGATTGTAATCTATAATTATTGAAAAAACTACGCTGAGTATTATCTTTCCGTCGGGTTGAAGTTACTTTCGTCACAGTTCATCTACACGAATATAGATGAACGATTTTTGGCTGCTGTTTTTCGACCTCTCTGCAGGCTTTTTTGTCTATCGTTTAGTAGTTGCTGTGTATTGTAGGCGCCATCGATAGTGTATTATACGATCGTTTTTACTCTTCTGGATTCTTTTTTTTTGTGAACAAAGTCAAGGGAAAGTGAAGTTGTTTGGGTGCTATCCAGTCGAACAATTTTTTTCCTTTTTCTGACTTTCTCTACATTCTGGCGAACACGGATTCTAACGGATAAACAATAAACTGTTCAGAAAGGATTACATGAAACGAAGTTCATCCAATTGATTCTCCTCTAGTAATAATAATGACTCAATTTTATACGGTATTTTTTATTATACTCCTTCGAATAGCTACTCACCACAGGAATATTCAACGATCAGTTGATGGGTTACGTAGAATGAACGGTAGGAATCGAATTAATCAGTGAATAAAAGCCTTCCTAGCTTCCCGATAGTGGGACGAAGAGTCTTTCAAAAAAAATGCAGCAGTACGAGCAAAACGAGTCGATGAACGCCACAGGTTGAATTTCACGGCGCATCAGCAAAGTCACTGTCCCGCATTCTTTTAGTGTGCACTGCCACTGACGTTAACAGATGGCATTACAAAGGAACAGTACACTTGTAATTGCAATGTGATAAATACGATTTATCCAAATATAAAACTTTCTACTGGAAACTTTGCTGTA